CCTCAACGACGGGGCAACTACAATAAAAAAATAAATAAAAAGTTAGCAAAAAGGAGAAATAATAATAACTAAAGCCGCAAGCGGCGATGGACGGGTCCTCGCACCTATGCTTGTCGTGCGAAGTGCTGCTGATATAATTATTGTAAAATCTAGCCATGCAGGTGTCATACGTACAGTACGTGCTCAGAAATCATAACTCTGGGTGTATATTCTCACCCCATCATTCTGACATTTTATGTGTCAAAAAGAGAAGTTTGAAATAAATTACTTCAGAGGCAGGATAGAAATTGTTAATAACAAGAAACCCCCGGTGGTATTATTACCTGTTTTCTCTGCCGTGTGTCTGCGCTGCGCGTCACCTGTGTCATTCAAAAGCTTCATCTGTTGCCGATCGCAGGCGTTTCTCAGCTGCCTATTAAAAACCCTTCGCCTGTCGCTGTCATTCTGTGTTCTCGGGCTGTTTTTATTTCCCCAGACTCATATCTAGGTTACAGTTTGATGTTTCAGTTTAGGTTACTTGCAAATGTGGAGCCATAAAACTTGAAGAAAAATGTAGAAAAAAAAAAAACTCCAGTCAGTGCACTGAAGCAAGAGAAACCCTGAGGGGCTGTTAAATATGTCACCGTGAAGGAAAAATGAGAGGAGAAGGAGTTGATGAATAGAGATGTGACTGAATGAGGTGACAAAAACACTAATGATGTGAAAATCAAGACATGGGAGAGAATAATTGAGTTACATGTGAAATAAGTAAGAAAAAGATAAAACTTTATTAATCCCAAAGGACGTTCTTGTGCCAGATGTTGCTCAGAAAAAAAATGAGGAATGTAGTGACTAAAAAGTAGAAAAGCAAAAAGATAAAAGTGTGTTACAATACTGGAATAATAAAATAAGGCTTGAATAGAACAGTTAAAGTAGTGCTGGCAATTATACTGAGGTGATGAGTAACATGATAATGAAATAATATACCTGAAGCACGAGATGTAAGTGAAATATTACACCTGAGAAATGAAAATATGAAATATTCCATGTATATGTTGTGCTTGAAATTAAGTGCTACACATGATCCGGAAACTGATGTTGCACCAACTATTGAGAAAAATACACTGAAATAGTATCAGTGAGCTAAAGTAAGGCTAGAATAGAATACTGTGATGATAAGTAATAACACATGATAATGAGATATTTTGCCTGAAAAATGAGCTGAAAATGAAATATTACACATTATATTGATAGTGTTGTACATGAAAATGAGAAATATTGCACATGTGATCAACATTTTGCAAAAAACTAAAGAAATATTACACATGAAACTGAAATATTGCACCAGAAACTGATGTTGCAAAAACTATTGAAAATATTAAAAACTTAAATCATATAAGTGAGCTAAAGTAAGGCTAATGTAGGACAGTTAAATGTAAGACTGTCAACTATACTGAGGTAACTAGTGATATAACACGTGATAATGAAATATTGCACCTGAAAAATCAGATGAAAATGAAATATTACACATTATATCAACAGTCTTATACATGAAAATAAGAAATATTGCACATGTGGTCAAAATTGTGCAAAATAAAATGAAATATTACACATGAAACTGAAATATTGCTCCGAAAAATGAAAATGTGAAATGTTACATACTTCACATTAAAGTAAATGCGACATGATGTTGCACAAAGTAATCAGAAAAATATACAGAGATACAATAATTAGCTTTAAAATGAGCCAAATAATCCTAGAATAGAACAGTAAAACGTAATTCTGGAAATAAATAATATCACACATGATAATTAAATATTGTACATCACATTTACAGTGTTTTTAAGTGTGAACTATTACACCTGTATTTAGAATATTGCAAATTAAAATAAAAGATTACACATGAAACTGAAATAATGTGCCTGAGAAATGAAAACATGGAATATTGCACGTTACATTGACAACATGTCCATAAAAAAAGTGTAATATTGCACAAGCAACAAAAATTTAACACGTGAGGATGAAATATTGCAAATGAAACTGAAACATGACACCTGAAAAATGAACAAACATGAAATACTGCATGTGAAATCAAATGTTAATCATGGTAACTGTTGGGAAAAGTAGTTTTGCAAATTATATTCAACATATTGAAAAACATGCAGAGACAGTATAATGCAAGCTGTGTGACATTTTCAGAAGAAATTAAGCTACAACTAAATAAAAGTTGTTTTTTTTTGTCAATGCTTGTTATCGTTTTGCTCTCATTGACGTGACATAACTTAAATATTCCATCTTTCTCTGGTTTCAGGCTTTGCTAGCGGTGCTACGTGAGAGCCACCGCACCCGGACGGTCTTCCGTAAGGTGGGCGGCTTCGTCTACGTCACGTCGCTGCTGGTGGCCATGGAGCGCTCGCTGTGCCAGCCGCCGCGTCACGGCTGGGAGCGCGTCAACCAGAACCAGGTGTTCGAGCTCCTGCACACCGTCTTCTGCACGCTGACCGCCGCCATGCGCTACGAGCCGGCCAACTCGCACTTCTTCCGCACCGAGATCCAGTACGAGAAGCTGGCCGACGCCGTGAGGTAAAGCCATGGGCAGAGATCTGCCTCATCTTACATGAATCTGCATGTTTGCTTTTCATACAAACACTTGATTTCCTCCTTCTGTGGATGGATAATTAAAGAGGCTGTGAATCATGAATGGAAACCTTGAGTTCAGTTTCAGGTGATTTTAGCAAAGAGGCTGCTTTACGTTTTTCCCATTTAGGATTTATGTAATAGAACTGATTGGAGCTTTTTGATTGATGTTTGTGTTGTTTTAGTCACATTTTGTGGACGTCATCAGCTGTCATGAAGATTTAATTAGCTTGATCATACAGCTAAACTTATTTTTATACTTGGAATCACAGAACCGAACTTTTTGCTTTATGACCGCCGCAAAATCTGGCCCAGAGTTCTGGGAAAACGACATTGTGTTGACATTTTTTAATTGATAATTACCCTCCGGAGTCACACCAGTTGCAGCACTTCATAGTTGTAATAATAATATCTCTGTAATGGATTCAAGTACCGACTTATTGTGTCTCTTGTTCTTACAATCCATCCTGCAAACACTGATATTTGTGGACACTTTAGTTAAATATTCAAAGCATGCAAGTTCATTTATATAGCAGCAGGAGAAGTTATTCAAAGTCCTGCACAGACAAAGGTAGCAAAAATATGACATGTAGAAGAGAATAAAATGACATGAATTCAGTTTGATAAGTCCAAAACAATACAGACAAGTTGAGCAAAGTGTGCACAAAATTTAGAGAAAAACAAGAAAAAAAGAAATTAATTGAGCAAAGTGCAGACAAGTTAAATAGATTCGATTAGTTCCAACTTCAGAGCATGAAGACGGTGAAATGTAAGCAGTGAAGTGCATCATATGTGGTATGATATAGTATAAAGAGACAGTGTGGCAGGAACACATTTAGTGTATGAATAGGATTTGTTCTTGTTGGCTTTTTAACTTTAACGTCATATCACTGTGGTATGGATATTTAAATGAAACATGTTAAGCTGAGAAATATGTGTTATTGTGCCTTTATAGTGGTAAATTTGTACACATCTCATTATGAGGAGATCCAGGAAAAAAATGCCAGAGAGACACTAGAGAGGAAACTTTAGAGACAATATTTTGTTTTGAATCTATAAACCGAACACTAAATCACAATTTGTTGATAAAATAGGTTGAAAAAGTTCCAAATAATTTAAAAAACATAGGTTTTAATTATATTTAGCTGCTGTTCTGGTTTAGCGTAGAGGCTGCTGAAGCTTCTTTTCCACCAGATCATCATCAGAGACACTTTATATATGTGTGTGTTCTTGTTTGTTTGTAATATTAACTGCCCTCTCACTTTCTCCTCGTGTTTAACCGGTTCGCCTCCCGTCCTGCAGGCTGCTGGGCTGTTTCTCCGACACCAAGAAGCTGGGTCCCACCAGCGTTTTCCCGTCCAACGCTCAGCCCTTCCAGAGGCTGCTGGAGGACGAAGCCGCCCCTGGAGGCTGCGCGGGAGACAGCGTGTGTCCCACGCTCAAGCACTGCAGCAAGCTCTTCATCTACCTGTACAAGATGGCCACCGACTCCTTCGACAGGTCAGTGGGGCGGCGCACACACGGGACACTTCGATCCTCGGTGTAGACGTAGAGATGCTTATTGATGTAGAACAGAGTGTGAAAGTCTGTTCTCGACAAAGGGAAAGAACATTGTGCTCAGTCGCCAGTTTATCAGGTGCACCTATTGTAAAGTATCACAATTTAATACGACAACCTTAAATTAAAAACCCCTAATATTCATTTCATGTTTGAGAGTTTCAACTGCGTGATCAGTTTGGAGAACAGTTTGGGAAACAGAAATGAAACACAAAGATGTTTCTGTTGTTTCTACTTTGTAAAGCTTCTGTGAGTGTGCTATGTAAGTATTAATAATAATACAGTGAGCACACGGTGGAATAAACAGCTCCTTAGTTTGTTTTATTACATTCTGAATATTGTAATCTTAATGAAGCTCTTAATTGGTTCCCGACTGGTTTGTTCTGCTGCATTAGTGTTACTTTAGTGTTCCTAATAAACTGGTGACCGGTTCTTTTTGTGTAGTGTTGTGTTATTCCAGAGCCAAGTTAACAAAATCTGACTACATAAAGCAGGAATTCCTTGTTTTCTGCTCACATAATAGCTGAACTATATTCTGTCCAAAGGGTTTTGTGTGACTGAAGAGATGTATAGCGAATATTGCACCATAAATCAATGCGTTCACTGTTGTGTTTTGTTGCCAAGTTACTGCTAAAAAGAGACTTGAGGAGATTGAGTTCAGCAGATTGCAGCCACATGTCCTTTGATTTCAACAATACGTCAAAAAAAAAAAAAACTCACTTCTTCCAACCTGTTTTTAGTAAAACCTTTATGTTTCATGTTCTCATGAGGAACTGTCCTGTTTCCTTTTAGCCTCTTATGAATCCTAAAAGAAACTGAGAACATTCTGTAAAAATGAAGGATTTATCTGTAGTTGAAAAACATCATTGTGACACAAACAGGTAGTTTTAAGTCAGCTTTAATCAACATGAGTGATCATTAGCTGCAGGTGTTATTGGAACCATGTTGCTTTGCTGCGTTTTACATCGTTCTCAGCTGCACTGATGAGCAGCACTAGAATGTATTTGCAATTTAATGCTCAGTTGTGGAAAGAACATAAAAATCCACCAGAAAAACTCTCACAACAGTGGCGTTTTTTGTACCAGTGAGCAGGACATTTATAGTTTCAGGTGCTCCTCTTTGCTCTTCAAGAGTGAATCTGGTCCACAGCTGTGTTTGTCTCAGCCACTCGCTGCTCCTGTTCAGTCGACCTCTTCATCCAAGACTCGCATGGATGAACCGAAGCGGAGACATTTATTAAAGAAGCTCACCGCGGTTCCTTCAAAGCAGCACAATCCTTTAGCGGTGCTGGGATTAGAGATGTTTCTCCAACATTCAGAAAGTCATCGCAGTCTTTGCAAACAAGAAAAATATCAACGAAGCAACTGAAAGAGCTGCTTGTTTGTTCTTTGTGCCATATTTTGATTATTTAAATTGAGGTTAGATTGAGTGAAAGATCCATCTGGGTTCTGCATGTGTTCACTACAAAAGGGTTAAAAGTACATTCAGGTTCAGCTTGAAGATGATATGTAGAGAAGTTGTATTTGTTTCTCAGCTTCTATTTGGAGTTGGTGGTAATAAATTGGTCAACACATGCTGAAATTATGGCTGCGTTCCAAATACGTTTTGCTTAAAAGTACAGCTGCTTCCACAAAGTACATTCTGCTTCATGCAGCATGCATGTAAGTGGAATATACTGCTTC